TTGGCCCCAGGCTCCTCCCCCGCCAGCTCTGCTTCCTGCCCCGCCTGGCCAGCCCCCATCCCCCGCCCATGATCAAGTGTGTCCGTTTTTTTGGCAGGGTCTACCTGGTAACCCTACCCCTACTTGAAGGGATTGGTGACTGCTGGGGAGGGGCACGAAGGGGAAACCAGCCCGTGACCTCCCATGTGACGCCTTCCCACCCCAGCTGTGCCCGATTCTTTAGAATTAACAACTTAACTTTAGCTTAACAGGAACCCCCCATCCACTAGGGATGTTAAATTGCGTGTAATCTGGTAACCGTGGAGCCGCCAAATAGTACACGCTTCAGAGAGGGAGCCGAGTTAGTCTGTAACAGGAAAAATTTTAAAAACAACAAATAGTCTAGCAGCACCTTAAAGACGAGCAAAACATGCAGATGGGTTGTGCCCAGGAAAGCTCATGAGACCATCGACCCGTTTTGTTTGTCTTTAAGGTGCTACTGGACTATTTGTTGGTTTTTAAGTTTTTTAATATTACACGGTTCCCGAGAAGCAGCTCTGCATTGAGAGTAGCTTGGAAGCCAACAGGCAGCTCTGCATTGAGAGTAGCTTGGAACCCAACTGGCAGGCAGGCTGGCTCAGTCCCGGCCCGCGCCAGGTCACGGTGGTTACCCCCACCGCGGCTCTGCACAAAACGTATTCTCGGAGCCAGTGGGCAGAGAGGGCTGCCTGGAACTAGCCTGAGCCGGGATAGCGCCAGCCTGCCGGCTCCTAAATTCCATTTCATGCAGGGGCCCAGTGGGGCTTGCAAATCTCCTTTCAGCCTAGTCGAACAGCTCTGCCACAGACCCTGCAACTCAAACTCAGCCGGGACACGAACTCGGTAGGAACTGCACGGCGCCACGCGGCCAGAGAGGTTGTGTAACTTGCCTGAGCTCACACAGGAAGTCTGTGGTAACGTAAGGGATAGTATCTTGATTTCTCAACTCTCCTTGCTGTGATTTAACTACACCACCGTCTTTTCCCTCTTGGTCTGCGCGCTTCCATTCTCCGAGCAGATAAACTCAAGCAGCTGGGAAAGCGTGAATTTGGAGATCTTATATGCTTTCCCACATAGCTGTGATTATCTGGTTTGCTAAATACTAATAAGCCCCTTTGTTGGTAAATAACTCCATTTCCTTCTCTCTAGCCTTCCCCATCACTCTGTGGCTGTGTCTAGACTGACAAGTTTTTCTGCAAAAGCAGGTGCTTTTGCGGAAAAACTTGCCAGCTGTCTACACTGGCCGCTTGAATTTCTGCAAAGAACACTGACTTCCTACTGTCTGAAATCAGTGCTTCTTGCGGAAATACTATGCTGCTCCTGTTCGGGCAAAAGCCCTTTTGCGCAAAGCTTTTGCGCAAAAGGGCCAGTGTAGACAGCTCAGATTTGTTTTGCGCAAAAAAGCCCCGATCGCAAAAATGGCGATTGGGGTTTTCTTGCGCAAAACCGCATCTAGATTGGCACGGACGCTTTTCTGCAAAAAGTGCTTTTGTGGAAAAGCGTCCGTGCCAACCTAGACGCGCTTTTCCGCAAATGCTTTTAATGGAAAACTTTTCCGTTACAAGCATTCGCGGAAAATCCTGCCAGTCTAGATGTAGCTGTGTGTTTCTGTGAAGAGCGCTTTGTGTACCACCTCGCATTGCACTAGCCTGGCAGCAGTTCAAGAACATTGTACTATCCAATGTTTAAACAAAAGCAGTTGTGAAAACAGTATTGCAGCTGCACTCCTTTGCATTGCTAGCTGTTTGTGTGCAGCTGGTGACTAAAGGGGCGGAAAATCCTGCCAGTCTAGATGTAGCTGTGTGTTTCTGTGAAGAGCGCTTTGTGTACCACCTCGCATTGCACTAGCCTGGCAGCAGTTCAAGAACATTGTACTATCCAATGTTTAAACAAAAGCAGTTGTGAAAACAGTATTGCAGCTGCACTCCTTTGCATTGCTAGCTGTTTGTGTGCAGCTGGTGACTAAAGGGGCGCGT